CCGACAACACCTCCCCTGTGAAACTTCACAGTTAGGTGAGGGGCTTCCCTAACACCTTGAATATACCTAATGGTCATAAAAACAACGGCCAAGATTCGCCAAACAGGAATGATGCACTAAGCGTTCAGTTAAGTGTTTTACATGCAGTAACTCATTTAACCCTCACAGTTGAAATTGGAGCTGTAACTGTCCCCACGTTACAGGTGAGAACACTGCGACTCCGAGAGGTGAAATCGCAGGCCCGGGACCACAAAGATATTAATGATACAACCAGGAACTGAAGCATCAGCTCAGATCAGGCCTTGGTTTTCACAGTTACCCACAGAGGTAACTGTTTTTCCATACCACCAACCACCGCGGCCAATACAGTGCCATAGGGTAATCACTGGTTTACTTCTCGGGGTTCACTTTTCTGTTGTATACGGTTCCCTTTCCTGTTCCCTGTACAACAGAAATCCCCCCCCCACCCCGAGTCAGGAGCCTTGTGTTACTCCTATCCGCCACCTTACCGCTAAGATAGGGGCTGGTGCACACGAGACAGTCAATTAATGCTTGTGGGGCAATTAATTTTTGGATGATGACATCTCCTTGAGATTTCTTTTCTCATTTCCAAAACCAATATCAGCTTACAACTGAACCAAAACCAAAAACGTTCAGCAAGTACATTTATAACCACATGAGCAGAGAGTTCTCAAAGTTGTTTGCCGTTCCTGATTTCATCCAAGGACGTCAAACGCTGAGAATGTAAATGGCGTCTGGGTCGAAGTCAGACAGGAGGATTCACTGGACTGAGGATGATAGACAAACAAGCAAAAACAACAACAAAATATAATCTGTCCCCAGGCACGGCATCCAAAATCAGACAGGAAAGGATTAAGTTTTACAGTTGACTTACCCGCCCAGAAATTCAGCCCCTAGCTGAACAGAAAGAAGAAACCAGGCTATTTACTCCTAAATATTTTTTAAAGACCAGATTTTCATCCTATAAAGTATGGCAAGAAAAGATAACAAGTTGATTTTCCACTCTGGTAACTGAATTTGGAAGGAGGGAAACATTTATTTTTATCGGTTTCCCATTCGCTCACGATCATGCTTTTGAAGCTGATGGTAGGAGCTTTATAGATCCCCAGTCACGAGGCAACAGCGTGTCCCTGGCCACCATCAAAACGCCACGTGAAAATTACAGTTATTCCGTCTGCAGAACTGATATCACCTTGCCTCTAGAGAGCTCTAGGCAGTACTCAAATTGCATTTAAACACCAAATTAAAATTTTAACTATAAAAAATAAGGGGATAAACAAGAGAGAATCATATTATAATATTATATTGGTAAAAATATGTCTGGGAGAGGGAAGTGGATTTTCCATGTCGCCATTATGCTCAATGCCATGTCCTTTCCATGGAGCTACAGGAAGCATAGCGTTCATTCAGCATCTATCTTCATCAGTGCCCTGGTCTCTCACTAACATTGATGAAGGACCCGTGGGTACCGGCCACTCTCCAAGTCAAGTCACTAGGGAATAAGTTCCTGCACAAGTTTTTCCAATAGTGACTGATGCAGGCCTCCAATTTCCTATTTTCCAAAGGACATTCGAAATGGGAATAGACAAAGGCATCTGGCCAAGTTGAGAATAGGCCAGCCACTGACTTCCCTTTTCATCCAGATGTTCTGGTTCGTGGGGCCAACGCCTTGCTGGACAGTCGTGCTGGACAGGGGGTTCCCTCGTCCTTCTCAAGACCACCCTCCCCCTCCCTCCTTCTTGCAGCACCTCTTTCCTTCCCCAAAGGCAGAGGCTGCAGAACTCTCCCAAGCTATTGAGGTTTTTTAAGCAGTACCGGAAAAGATTGAAGGACACGTTTAAAAGAGAATTTGGTCTCAGGGCTGATTTATGTAAAATAATAAATGGTGCCACTTGGCTGTTTATAGAGTTAGAGATAAAATTAGATTCTAGATAATCCTTTCTTGTGCACATGGGGTAACTCTGATGGATTACTGCCTTCATATGACTTAGAATAACAGTGGCTCGTGGAAATTTACAAGGGGCTCCTCGAGAACACATTTCACAGCCACATCCAATAATTCAGAAGGGTATCTTGGGTCCCCAAAATGACTCAAATTTAATTTGGGAATGATACTTGAAAAGAGTAAGCTGATTAAAAGTATGAAGTAGTTAACAATTTAAAAAAGTTACTTCACTCTCCACAGCCAGGCAGAAAGCATTTCTATCCAATTTTCCCCCGGTCCCACCTCCACTGACACATTCTTAGTCTGGCCACTCTTTGAAAAATGAGCAAAAGGGGAGCAAGGAATGATTCTGGGGATTGGACAGTTGAACATTTCCTCAACTGGCCAAGACCTTGACAGTTTTACTTTTTTTTATAAGAAGATGGAAATCAGGCAGGCCTGAGTGTCAATATCTACATAGGCCTTAAAGTCCTCTTGACGTGGATATTAGTTACCCTCTGGCAACAGCCAGCGGTGTTGAGTCCGTTCATGTGTGTGACAAATACTGATTAGGTAACTGCTCTTTCCTTGGTACTTTCCTAGTGCTAGAGGTATCAATGGAGATCAACAGCAGTCCATGCTCAAAATCAGCCCATAAAGGAGAATGCAAAGTGCTCTTATGGGGGACAAGTAGAGGGGATGAGTAAGTTTATAGCTACACTGAGACCCGAAGGGAGAATAGGCTTGCCAGACAAAATTCTTGGTGCAGAAGTGGTGGGAGGGTGTCGGTAGTACTAATGGAGGGTGTCGGTAGTACTAATGGAGGGTGAATTTCAGGCAGAAAACCAGGGAGATGTAGATGGCTGAACTGTAAAGTGGGAGGGGGAGAAGCATGGTCAGTGAGACTGAAGGGGCAAGGAGGAGCCAGTTGATAAAAATCCTGCCAGCCGGTCATATGAGGGAACTTGAACTTCATGGAAACAATGCCAGGTGACTCTATCAGATGTACGCTTTAGAAAGAGCACCCTCTGGAATGCAGATTGGTTGCTGTCATGCAGCTCAGACTGAAAAGTGAAGGCCGTTCCAATCGTCCAGGTAACCTAGACCAGGATGGGAGACAAGTGGGGAGGCTCCCGTGCTCCCTAAAAGGCGCAGTCCACAGAACTGCTGATTGACTGGACAAAGAGATGGAAGGAGATGGAGAGCGAAGAAGATGCCCGGGGCTTGGACCCAACGAGTGGAGGAGGGATTTACTGAGGCCAGCACACAAGAGAGGCAGGTGCCGGCGTCGGTCCCGAGACCAGATGTTCACAGGACAGAGCTAGGTGAAGTTGTTCCAGCAGGAGCCTACTGCAAGTGATGGGAGTCCCTGGCCCTCCCTCCAGCACTGGGAGAGGAGGCTAAACTATTAGACAGGTAACTTCTAAGGCAACTCTTTTCCAAAAACTACAAGTCTCCTGGAAATAACAGAGCTTCCAGAAAAAAATCCACGTAAGGCAGCAGCTGCCTGTGCGTGCGTGGTGACAGTAAGGAGGCGGGGCCTCACGCTCGGGGGTGGGACTTCCGTTGAGACCGGAAGAAGCCTTCCTCTAACTGGAGATGGGCAACATGGCGCCTGCCGGCTCCCTTGAGTGTCTGATGGGGGACGGACGTGGCCTTGTCTGCTTCCCAGAATTTGGAGCCGTTACAGTGAACGTTAAGAGGTTCTACACAGCCTCCTTCCTCTGTGGCCCTGAATCTGAGGGAGGGGAGGCAGTGTGTGAATGTGTTGGCAGCTGTGCAGATCCCTGGAGTCTCATGCCAAAGCCCCCTCCAACTCTTCTGCTCACCCTGGAGCTTATCAGTCCTCAAGGGCCCCCTGCTTCTTCCCCGGAAAGCTCCTGGCTTCATGCTTGCTTTCCAGTCTCTAGGCCAACGCTGAACACCAAAAACTCAATGCGAGCCATATAAGCAATTCTAGATCTTCTAATAAATACATCTTTTAGCGTGAAATTTTTAATGGGATATTCGTGTTACCAATGTATTTTTTTTATGTATGCCACTGGATCCAAAAGTTTTTTTTAACTATCAAGATATTTACTTAGAGGTACACGTTATTGTCTGCCATCGTACGCTCTATGTACAATTTTTGCTATGACTCTTGTCCTGGAGTATTTATTTGCATTTTATTTCTTGTGTGTGCATGTGAAATCTTCAAAACCAAATGTGCATATCACACCTAAAGCACATCTCAGTTTGCACTAACCACACCCCAAGGGCTCAAAAGCCACATGGCGCTGGAGGATGCCGTGATGGACAGCCCAGTGCTAGACCATCCTGTGCAGTGGAAAGTGCTAGGTGAGTGTGCAGACTCCCAGGCTTTGCTCCTGGTACCAGCACCTACGACCTCAGGCTCCTTACTTAACGTCTCCTGCCTCAGTTTCTTGCTGTGAAATGGGAATCATAATGCTAGACTCTGAATGTCTGTGTTCCCCCTAAATTCATATGTTGAAACCTAAGCCCCCAGGACCTTTAGGGAGTGATAGGGTCTTGAAGGTGGAGTCTTCAAGGAGGGGATTTGTGCCCCTAGAAAAGAGGCTCCAATCTGCAAAACGTGGATGGAACTAGAGGGCCTTATGCTAAGCGAAATTAGTCGGAGAAAGACAAATATCCTATGACTTCACTCATATGTGGAATTTAAGATATAAAACAGATGAACGTAGGGGAAGGGAAGCAGAACCAAGATAAAAACAGTGAGGGGGACAAAACATAAAAGACTCTTAAATATGGAGAAGAAGCTAGGTAAGGGTTGCTGGAGGGGTTGTGAGTGGGAGGATGGCTAAATGGGCAAGGGACACCGAGGAAGACACTTGTTGGGATGAGCACTGGGTGTTATACCAGGGGACGAATCACTGGATTCTAGTCCTGAAATCATTATTGCACTAGATGCTAACCAACTGGCGTGTAAATTTAAAAATAAATTAATTGATTTTAAAGAAGGAAAAGAAGAAAAGAAAAGAAAAGAAAAGAAAAGAAAAGAAAAGAAAAAAAGAAAAGAGGTTCCAGAGAGCTCCCTTGTCCCTCCCCAGCCGGTGAGGACACCGTGAGAAGCCTGAAGTCTGCAACCCAGAAGAGGGCTTTCACCAGAACGCAACCATGCTGACACCTTGATCTTGAACTTCCCAGCCTCTCGGACTGGGAGATAAATCTCTGCTGTTTATAAGCCATCCAGTTTGTGGTGCTCTCAGTTTGTTACAGTGGCCCAAATGGACAGAGACAGAGGATAACCAGTAGGGCTCTTGAGAGAAATAAATTAGGAATTATATGTAAAGTGCTTGGAACAGAGTCTGCCGTAGTATGCTCTATGTAAATTTCTGCCAGTACTCTTATCCCAAGTCACACAGCTTCCAAAAAGGTTGATCTGACAAAGCTGGAAAACCATCCACTGGATTTCCACTTAGAAGTTCCTGGTGACCTACCAAGAGCACCCGATTTGAACGTGATGAAAACCAAAGCCCGTCTGCTCAGTAGGAGCGTGGGCGAAGATCTCCCATTTCACTTCACGCCCACGGTTCCCTTCAAACCCAAATCGGAAGCACCCTGTGGGCACCTGCCGAATCTGCACCATGAATGGCACACTTGCAGCTCTCCCAAGTGCCCATCACCATAGGGTCCAAATGCAACTGGTGAATGCCAGAGAAGCCATGAGCAGACTTGAGAGCACCAAGAAAGAGAAAAGCAAACAAAGGGACCTTCAGGCATGGCCACATTTACATAATAAGAGGAGGAAAAAGGGATGGGGGAGGCGAGGGGGAGGAGAGAAAGAGGAAGTAGAGGGATGACTGAATAAGGAGGTATCATTCCCACTGCTAAGCCCTGGCTCTCCGTGGCCTATGGCTTCTGTGCCCAGTGCATCTAAGAAAAGATTTAATAATCTTAGAAATGACTACCTTGTCATTGTAAATAATTTTAAATTTACATAAACGTGCAAGAACAGTGCAAGGAGCTCCCAGGAGCCTTCACCCAACGTCACAAGTTGCTATCAGTTTGCTGTGTTCACTTTATCGTTCTCCATCCGCCTAAAACATTTGAGATTAAAGTGTGTACATCATATCCCTCTACCCCGAACACCTCCGTGTACGTTTTCTGAGAAAAAGGACATTCTCTAACATAATGACAATGCAGTGATTACATTCAGGAACTTTCACGTCGATAAAATACTCTCATCTAATCTACAGGTAGAAGGGGGGTGAAAGACACAGTGGAGGTCAAGGGCAAATGAGGAGTGACGTGTTGCTCTGTATTTCACAAGCAACTTTTTCCTGGCCTGGGATCCAATCCAAAGTCATGCCTTGCATGTAGTTGTCCATATATATATTTTTTAATAAATAAAGAAATGAATAAATAACATTTCAACTTAATTTTAAAAAAAGAAAAAAGAAAGGAGACCAGATACCCTAACTCCTTACCATGTCTGTGAAACTCACAAGGCAAGGCGTTCTCCTTGAGCTTGGAAGGCTTCACGTTCCTAGGCACTGGCCGGACGTCCGGGCTGTGACTTCAGCTGTGGTTGTTGTGGTCCTAGACGGCACTCTTCGACTGCCCTCTGCCTTGACCCTTGTGAATGTGTTGCAAGTAACACGGTAAAGGGAACCAAAACAACTTTAAAAATAAAGACTGCGTCTACTGCCTCACAGTCAACACAGGTCTAGGAGTGTTCCAAAGCCAGGTCATCCGAGGTGGGTAGAGAGAAGTGCATTGACTGCCAGGGACAAAGCCAGTCCCCAACGCTGGGCATGAAGCCTCAAGAGAGGCAGTGAGGACAAAAGCAAACAAGAGGTGAACACCACCTGTCTCCTCTCTGCATTGTCTGAAGCCGTGAGAACGCTACAAGAACGTCCCAGAACCAAGCCACCCAAAGCCTAACGGAGTGGGGAGACACCAAGGGCCACCAAAAGGCATGAGGTCCAACTGACAGTCAGCAGGAAAGCAACAAGAGTTGGAAACGGTGGACTCCGGGGGCAGGGACAAGTGAGAATATCCATCTTTGCCCATGAGCTTGGCTTACCCAAGCAAGGCTCTGGAGGTCACTCAAGACAAGTCTCCCCCCAAAAATGAGGGTTTTCACAGGTCAAAGATGGACCAAAATTAAGAAAAAATGAAACAAGAGTGACTATAAAGAAATGGATTTTCTTTCTTTCTTTCTTTCTTTCTTTCTTTCTTTCTTTCTTCTTTTTTAATACAATTACAGGGTAACAGCGGCTTGGTAAGTGGTGTGCATCCAACGTTGGACAGACATGACCTCAGCACGTCTTTGTGACAGTCATGCAAAGGAGCAAAGAGCAAAACTGAAGCCCGTGGAAATCAAGGAATTTCAAGGTCACAGAGTGTAAATATGAGACAAAGCTAATCTAGGTCCCCCGAGCTCCAAAACACACTCTTCCGTTTTCTACAAAGAGTTGCTCATGGAGTAAACCTGAACTGAAACACAATTCATGTCAAAAGGAGTTGGCATTTCACTGAACTGTAGGCTTTTAAAGCCTACGTAGATTGAAGGCTACATCAGTTAAAACACAGGGTCCCAAATTTAGGGGGCATAACCATCCCACCGTACTTCTAGGATCTGCTGGAGCATTCTAGGGCCAGGCTTGAGAAAGAACTCAGTTTAGTCAGTTTCAGGGTCTCTCTAAAGTTTCTGAGTTGAGGGGCACCTGGATGGCTGAGTCGACTGGGCTTCCGGCTTCGGCTCAGGTCGTGAGTGATCTCGCGGTCCATGAGTTCGAGCCCCGTGTCAGGCTCTGTGCTGACAGCTCAGAGCCTGAAGCCTACTTTGGATTCTGTGTCTCCCTCTCTCTCTGCCCCTTCCCCGTTCACACTCTGTCTCCCTCTCAAAACAAAATAAAAACATTTAAAAAATTAAATTAAAAAAAAAAAAAAAAAAACCACAACACAAGTTTCTTATTTGAATCCTGAAACCGGGAATCTTAACCAACTAGAACGGCCCCCGGGGGAAATCTTAGAAACGAGGCGCCCCCTGGTGGTCCTCTTGACCAGGGACAATGGCCCGTTCCAGAGCATTCTCCCCACCTACTGAATTGCCCCCAAGCAATTCATATTATCTCTTTTTATTCAATTACGTTTTGATCATTGAAATTATTTTCATCTTAACCCTGATGATCAGTATCTTTCATTTCAGAGAATCTGATTATATACTTATTACAAGTGCAACCCAAGTTCAGCAACTAGTAGTATGACCTGTGGAATTAAAATTTCAGTTCTTTACCATGAGTTTCTCATAAGAGAAAAAAAAATTTTTTTTTAAGCAGGAGAATGCAAGCCCACCTCCCACACAGTATAGGACTTCTCACATTTTATTTCCATTAACGTTGTCACGACACCTTCGACGGGAACATCTCCTTCAGAGAAAAGAATACGTTCCTAGGGAGGTTAATCACTTCCTATCACTCTCGGGCATTATCTTAGCAGCCTTAAGGTAGTCTTCAGCTCCAGATAGTATCTCATTATTTATCTTATCCATTGTATCTACTAATTATTCTCTGCCTCATTTCCTTTTATGAAAATAACTTGCAGACTATTTAGTTCTGATGAGTGATTTTGCTTATTTGCTTTTGAGCATTGATCAGCCACAAGGTCTAAAATAAACATGTAATCTATTTTGAATGTAGAAAAGTAAAGAGAAGCAAAATTAATTAATTTGCCAATTCACTACCATCAGTGAATCTTAAAGTACATATGGATTATCACGATTCTGAATGATTTCGTGAGCTACGGGTCAGCAAACATTTGTGTAAAGGGCCAGAGAAGAAATATCCTAGATTTCACAGGCCAGATGGTCTCTGCCACAACTTCTGGACCCGGCCGTTGTAACACAAAAGCTTCCCAAGACACAATGTAAACAAATACATGGGGCTGTATTCCAATAAAACTTTATTTACAAAACCAAGTGGTGGGCCAGATTTGGCTTGCAGGCCATAATTTGCTCACCCCTCCTGTAGTGAGCAGTTTTTTTCCATCAGCGCCTTCCATTCCCAAAAACATTGTAGAATATGCATGCTAAGAATGTCTAGTAGTAACGTGGAATTCACTATTCTATTCCTACCCTAGTATTTACTTGGTGCTTTCTTGATTATTGACTAAAAATACTTGTAAAAAATGAATTAAGTCTTGAAATTATGGTTGCATCCGAATGAGTCACATCAGTCACATACCTTGTCATATGGTACATAAGTCACCTTTATAACTGATTAACAAAAATTTACCCATTTTTGTGGTTGATATCTGGCTAGCCTCTGAACACTCATTAAAATGATGAAAATATCATTCTCTTTTACTCAGGGGAATTCGTACTCTCCCAGGCATAGCCTGGTCACTATTTCAAAGTTTTAGACAAGTACATGTTTTTTGTATTTTCATCCTAATGTCTGTCTTGTTCTGTATAAAACCCTCTAAAGAAATGTACAGATTTTATTAGAAGGCTTATAAGCTTTCTGGCTAATAAATGTATACATTATTCACATTTAATGTAATTAGTGTTTTGAAGGAAGTGCTATAAAATCAGATTTAGTGTTTTTATGCTATTTTAAAATTTGTTTTTTATCCATTTCATGACACCAGAAATCGAGGGTCTTATTTTTTAATGCAGCTTATGTAGCTGATGTTGTTTTAAAATTGGCTAGAGGATAAGACCCCCCCAAAAAATCAAGATTTGTGTCTTTTGATTTCCCTTTTGTAGCATCAGGTTAATGGATTTTCACTGAATCTTCATTTATGTGGAATATTTTCATTTTGAACCCTGCTTTTCCCTCCCAATAAATCGGAATGTCTCTATTTTGAACTCATGCACTACAAAGTGACCCACTTTCTCTACGAACCTGGCAAGTGGAGCAGGGAAGTGATTTATGCATCAAGCAGGTTCCTTTCTGATGCAACGGTGCAGTCACTCTGCCCCCAGGAAAGTTCCATCTTGCTGCTCTTGGACCAGACAGTGGTCAACTGTGGTACAACGACAGCCACTGGGGATCTAGAAGACACCAGCATAGAGTATCCTGTTCCAAGGGTTCTTGTTTTCAACATCAGTGATACCTCGCTGGAAGGACTTTGGAAATGAAGTGAATAGGAGAAAAAGGTAATTTGCCCCATCCGTTACAAGGCAGGCCCATACGTCTGCTGTAGGTCAGAATTTTATTTTCAACATGCACCTGTAACTTATAAAGCTGATTGTGCACCCCATGAATGTCCTACAGCGGGAAAGGAGTTCTGGAACCTCCCATGTTTTCATCGCTACATAGCAACTAGTCTTTGACACGTAGAGTTAAAGGGGGGTGATTGGTGGGTCAATTCAGTATTCCGAGGACAACCTAAAAGGGAGGTTAAAATCTAATAAGAAGCTGGCATTTGCCATAGGTCCCTTTACGTCTCGGTACCCAGAATCAGTTTCATAACCGGCAACAGCCACGGGTGCCACCAAGAGACACAATAATGTCTGCCACGGGAGGCACGGACCAAACTCTGCCACTTGGTTTATTCTGCTTCTCGGCCATCAGAGCAAAGATTTTTCCACTTCCTTTTGAAACGCCTTACGAACGTGCAGTGAGATGAAATGATACATTGCCTAAAAAGGAACACTAAAAATTGTAGCTGTTTCATTTGGGTTTTTTTTTTTTTTTTTTTTTTTAATAGTATGAGACCTGTTGGGCGCACGGCTGCAAATGCGCACGCTCCTGCTGGGCTGGGCACTTCTTCAGGCCACCATCTCTGCCAACAGTAGCCTGGAAAGCCTGCCGGGGCCTCGGCCCCTCTTCTCTCAAGACAGGCATTGGTTTGGGCTGAGATGTGGCACCCTCTAGCCAGTCTCCAGCATTGCAGGTGAAGCGATGAACAGTGCATTTTTTGAAAAACGTTGAGTCTTAAGTTCTTGAAACAAGGAAGTACGCTCCCAGCTTCGATATCGTCCTGTGTCCCCTGGTCTACACCCAACCTTCGTGAGGTTCGTCATGTCCTATATCATCTCTCCCATTATTTACTTCACGTTTCCCCGTAGTGGACTTCACTGATTTTACCGAAATGGATTTATTTTGAGAGGAAACTACCATGGATGGAAAATCCAGTAGTATCCACCCGGGACAGAAAGTTGCCGTGGGAGATGCCTAAGTGACTGCGGGGTGTACGTGCCCATCGAATCTACTCTGAAGTTTTCCTACCCGTTTCATCTCCCGTCTTGCCCCAGATCACGTTGCCTGCGCTTTGACGAAGATGGAAACATCCTACCGTGATGATTAGAAGCCACCATTTGAGCTGTGCTCTCTGGGGTCCTCATCACTTTCCTCTCCCTCCTCACCCTTGGCAAGCAGATGTAGCCTCCAGGTGTTGCTATCTATGCCCTCAAGCAAGTTATTTAAACCTCTTGGACTTCAATTTTCTCATCTGTAAAGTGGGGACAGTAACGGTTGACAGATCCATGGACCATTCCAAGAAGCGAATCACTTGGTGCATATAGAGTGCTCAGAACAGGGTCCGGAATTTGGTAGATGTTCGATGTT